GGTCAAGTGTTGATTCGGATCCTCAGTCGGGTGTCCACCAAATTGGTTGTTCTGCACCATCGAGATATAGAAGGGCTTCAATTCGAAATGATTTGCATTGACGGGTATATACGCAATCCCGCCAAAATTCTTATTAAATTCAGGCCGAAAGTGGTCACGAATCGCTTGCTTCTGTTGTTCTTGCTCTGCCATTGTCTGCCATTGTGCACTTTGAATTACCCCTTCTTTTTCTAGTTGTTGCACTATTGCGTCTAGCGAATGCTTCAACTTCGTCAACCAGGGGTTGTAGTGGTGCACTTTTAGAGCGAATAACATGCACATCCTGAAATCAAGAATAAAAAAGATTATGTCAAAAAATAAAAAATTATAAAAATATCTAAATTAAAATTTTCACTATCTATCCTAATATTGATATAAATAACTATATTAGTCCCCAACAACGGCGCCAAAAACTTGTTCGCCTATATTTTTAAAGCTCGACCGCAAGTGTACGGCTTCGCTCGTAGTATGTGGCAAGAAAGGTCGTATCCCAAGAGACCAAATAATTAATATATCAAATACAAGATTATGATAGTATCAACTTTATTTAGACGACCGAATATGAGATTGATTAACTAAACTAAGAAAATAAATGAAAGAAAATAAAGCAAAAATAAATAACTAGCTAGATCAACACGTTAGAAAATATATGAGAACGATAAATTCTAAGACGTTGGGTTCAATGAATAGTTGGGTTCCTTCAAAAATATCACAACTAAATGTTTTCTTTATCTACCCTATAAGACGATCACACATTTATCTTATCGTCCCTCTCGAGATCGATAAAACCGTAGATTAAATCACATATATTAGCGTCTCCACTCAACACATGTAATTTAACTCCAAAAAGATTAAAAGACACAAAATCCTCACAACTATCTACTAATCTATCGATTCAAGCAAATAAATTGTGTCAAATATTAAAGATCTAATATTGAACTCATCTCTCGAATTATGAACAATATCATCAAACATGTAAAAGCAGTGGTCAGTTGCAATTCATGAAATAAGAATAAAATATTTGAATAGGGTTAAAAAAAAACAATCAACTATGATAAATTATCCGAAAATCCCAAACTATTAATCTATTACCATGTCTTATAATCAAAGAAATTTAGCTACTCATGTTTGAATTCAAATACATAGACATATTAGAAATCATCATGAGAAAAATAAGTTCAAAAGAGAGAAAGAAAAACTAGAAATCTTGTGGTTGATCTTCTCTTCTTCCCAATTGTCTCTCTTCTGCGTTCTAAGTCCTTCTCCTTGTGTTCTCTACCTCCCCCCTTCATAATAGGGTTAATATGCCTTTTTTAATGTCCAAAATTCTTCTCCTTATCCAAAAAGGCAAGGGATTAAAACTGCCCGCGTGTGCGACACGACCAGACACGCCCGTGTCACTGGTCGTGTCACATATATTGCTCTTGCACTCTTCCGTTGGACGACACGGGTCGTGACACCTGGGAGCCCGTGTCATGGGTCGTGTCACACCACTGTACACTCATTTTCGGCTCGTTTTGCTCGTTTCTTCCATTCTCTTCATCCATGCATCGATCTATCGTCATCCCGGGAGTCTTAGGCACTTACCATGCTCCTCTAATAGCCAAAGCTCTACAAATATGTGAAAATATCTACAAAACAAGCACGTGTAATACCTTTCCAACAAATTTAGAATTAAGCACAATAATGCAATTTATACACCAATAATGCGACAAATAAGCTCTAGATACTATATCAATATGGTGTAAAGTCACAAATGAACAGTTATAGGGCTCTCTTCCTTGCGTATTCTCGTTATTCTCTTCAAAATAAAATAAATATGCCTTTTTATATGTCCAAAACCCTTCACCTTATCCAAAAAGGCAAGAAATAAAAATCAGCTTGCGCGTGCGACACGGCCATTCTGCCCGTGTCACCGTCCGTGTCACAGCCCGTGTCAGGTCCCTAGCTTCGAAATCTCTCTGTTGAGGTGACACAGCCGCTGATATGGGCATGGTGCCCGTGTCTATGCTCGTGTAAGAAATCTGCACTCTATTTTTCACTTGTTTCACTCGTTTTTTCCATTTTTTTTCATCCGTGCATCAATCTTTCATCATCTCGGGGTCTTAGGTACTCACCATGCGCCTCCAATAGCCAAAAACTCTACAAATATGTAGAAATATCTACAAAACAAGCACGTGTAATACCTTTCCAACAAGATATAGAATTAACCACAATAATGCAATTTATACATCAATAAAGCAATGAATAAACTCTAGATACTCTATAAATATGGTGTAAAAATCACACATGAACAGCCGACGAGATCATAACCGAGCCTAAGTAGGCTATCAAGGTCGTGTACCTCATAGTGATCAAAATTTTCCAACCGACATGCCTTAGCTTGTATCCTTAATGCATATCGAAGTCACGCACACATGTTCGACTCTCGTCTGTTCGTTGAAGCCGAGCCACCGAGTGCGTGCCCGTGCACCGAGTCTGATCGAGCCGCGTCTCTACGCTCTGTTCAACGCCCGTGCGTCCGTTCGATCTTCCGCCATCAGTGAACGTGGCACCCTTTCAAACCCGTACATCAGCTAAGCCGTATCAGCCGAGTTTGTGTCGGCCCCGAGTTGCCACGCCGAACCCGGACCACGGTTAAGCCGAGCTGCATATAGTCAAGCGAATGATCGGCTGGTTTCGAGTGAGCCGCTAGTCCAGTTTAGTCGAACCATTCTGGATAGACCGAATAGTTCGTAGAGAATTCCAGTTCAGTCGAATGAGTCCGGGCAGTCCGAACGATTCTGGAGTTTAGTTCGAAATATCGATTTGAGCGTGGATCGAGTTTTGCAGTATTTTTTCGAACAAGTCGGATTTAAGTCCAGTCAGAATATAGTCCAGACTTAGAATTATTTCGATGAACTTTAGTATGCCTCAAGCTCAAAGACAATAAATTTTCAAAATCAGCTTGTAAATTCCTAAAGTGAGTTTTAAATGATTTTAAAGCCAAGTGAGCAAACCTAGTAAGATCGTATAATAAGATTTTAGTTTTTTAGTTTGAGCTTAGTACTTAGAATATATTTTGTGCTTATATATTTTGTAGCTTGTGGGGAGTCGAGCCTCCGACAGTTGCAATCCATTCAACACTTGCACTTCAACATATCAAGTGGAGACCCTGTACTGGGTACTACATTTTTTATAATCGCAATATCCTGGCTGAGGTATGTATGTAAGAGTTAGGTTGCCCAAATAAGGGCAATCACCTAGCGAGTAGGTCATTTCTAGCTAAGTGAACCGAACGCTAGTTAAGATGAGAGAAAAACTGTAGTGCAGCTTTGAGTTAAGTGAATTAAGAACCTTAGAACAACTTCGAGTTAAGTTGAAATTTAAGATGAGGATAGAACAGTTATTCCCTAAGGCAAAAACGACTTACATATTAGGTCCTACAGTTACTTATCACAAGTGCGAAAGTCAAGTGTCATTTTCGTCAGTTGAGCAGCAGTTATAGACAGTCAGTTGAGCAAAGACAGTCAGTTGAACAGCAGTTATTGACAGTCAGTCGAGCATAAGTTATATACATTCATTTTGTTATACCATAAATACTCGAACCGCTGGACCGCTCCTCTCGAACCGGGTTGCGTCTCCTTGATCGTCGGTACCTGCAAAGCACGCCGGGGGTGGTCCCGACGCGAACACTACGACGCTCAAGTCAGTGATGGTCTAGAGAGAAAACGACAGAGTAACGAGATAGTTCGCGAATGTGTGTTGTGTAAAATGAATGAACCTGCTCCCTTTTATAGGAGAATTTTGGAGAGTCCCAGTTGGATAAGAAGTTTTTCTTGTGTGAGCTACTTAATTAGGTCAAGAACATCCTGAATTGCAAGAGTCCTTGTCGCCACTAACTCCTTCGTAACTTGATCCCGAAGCCATCTTCAGGTTCTAGCCCCTTCGACGGCATACGAGGGCCGCCGAACACACG